GAAGGAGGAGGGCTGGAGGGCCCGAGGGAGGAGGAAGCGAGGGGGAAGGGGGAGGAGGGCTGGATGGCCCGTGGGAGGAGGAAGCGAGGAGATAGGGGGAAGCGCCGTTAGGTGCGTGGGCGGAAGCGACGGCAGCAGGGCGCCGTTAGGCGCGAGGGCGGAAGCGGCGGCAGCAGGTGGCGATGCGGCAGACGTGGAGCGCCGAAATCGCTGCAAAATCGCGTCCGCGTGGCTGCTGGACATTACTGCCGCGACGGTCGCGATTCGGCGGACGTAAGGCGCCGAAATCACCGCGAAAATGCGTCCGCGCGGCTGCTAGTTGCGACGGCCGCGACGGTCGCGATTCGGCAGATGTAGGGCACCAAAATCGCCATGAAATCACGTCCTCGTGGCTGCTGGACGTGACGGGAAGGTTGCATGCAAGGCGGCGCAGGAATGGTGGCAACTAGCCAAAGGAAGAAGGGGAGGGAGGGGCGTGGAAGTATACGCAAGACACATGGTCCTAGGATCGTGAGGGGCGTGAGCCAAAATGCTCTAATAGCATGTTAGAATCCTATGAAGGATGAGGACTGAGAATTGAAAGGAGTAATTTTAGAATGATAAACAGAAGGTATACATAGTTGAGCTATGAGAGGGAGTGGGTTGGTTGGGAGTGTGGCCAAGATTATTGGCCTCCACCGATAATTGCGTTAGAGAAATTATCGGGTCCTCCAATAATGATAGAGCCCCAATAATGCTCTAACCTAACCTAACCTTTGGGGGCCAAGTATTTTGGCTAAGGTTGGAACCAAAACCCCAACTAGGGTAAACCCCAGCTGTACACCCAAGTTAGATTTGGGTGCTTAACTCTAGACAAGCAAACTAGCATATGCAGGATAAATAGAATATAGGTTTTCTAACTTACCATGCATGCCATTACATCAATCCATGGCCGTACCATGCATGCCATAACATCAATCCATGGCCGTACCATGCATGACATAACATCAATCCATGGTCGTACCATGCATGACATAACATCAATCCATGGCCGTACCATGCATGCCAGAACATCAATCCATGGCCGTACCATGCATGCCATAACATCAATCCATGGTCGTACCATGCATGCCATAACATCAATCCATGGCCGTACCATGCATGCCATAACATCAATTCATGGCCGTACCATGCCGCAACATCAATCCGAGGAGTGCGAGTGGCATACGGTAGGAGGGAGAGAAGGAATTGGGGGATGGGAGAGAAGCACATGCGAGGGGGAGAGGAGACACGACGGGCAGAAGTACCTGGGTGGGGAAGGGGTAGCTGGGTGGGGGAGAGGTAGCTGGATGGGGGAGAGGTACCTAGGTGGAGGAGAGGTACCTCGGTGGTGACTCGGGCTCCAAAGAGCCATCCTGCTCCTCGAGGGCTGACAGCCCACGTCTCTATGTCCTCTGGATCGCTCCACATCAGATCTGCCCTGCCCCGCATGACATGGCGTGGTGTTCTGAGGGAAGAGGAGAGACGAGTTGATAACGTGTGGAAGTGGGGCTGACGGCCCACGTCTCTATGCCCTATGGATCGCTCCACAACAGATCTGCCCCGCGTGGCGTGGCGTGGTGTGATGTGGTGTGGCGTGGCGTGCACGGCGAGGCACAGGAAACGAGGTGCGAGGAGAAGCAAGAGTGGGAATGAGAGGATATAGCAGCGAGGAAAGCATGGGGGGAGGAGTTGGATAGTTTTGTAAGAGGTGGATGGTGTTGTGAGTGGGAACAGGAGAGATGAGTTGATAAGGGGGGGGGAGAAGGAAGAGGGGGTGAATAAAGTGTGTGGGGAGCAAAAAAATTATCCACACGCAAAGCACCACCTACTTGAGGCATGGCCAGTGCTGCCAGTCAAAGTTCAAACCAAGGGCGAAAGAGGAATTTGGGAGTTATGGCACTGAAAGTCTGCCACTATTGAGGGGTGGACATAGAGGTGGGAGCAGGGAGCAGGGAGCAGGGAGCAGGGAGCAATGACGGTGGCTGGCAGGTTACCGCAGAAGGGGCCCTCATGTGGAATCTCGCACTGCCGCTCCACTACTCGGATCTCAGGCATAGGCAGGCACACACAGGCACACACAGGCACACACAGGCACACACAGGCACACACAGGCACACACAGGCACACACAGGCACACACAGGCACACACAGGCACACACAGGCACACACAGGCACACACAGGCGCACACAAGCACACACAGGCACACACAGGCACACACAGGCACACACAAGCACACACAGGCAAACACAGGCATACGTAGGCACACGCAGGCACACGCAGGCACACGCAAACACACGTAGGCACACACAGGCACACACAGGCACACACAGGCACACACAGGCACACACAGGCACACACAGGCACACACAGGCACACACAGGCACACACAGGCACACACAGGCACACACAGGCACACACAAGCACAGGCAGGCACACACAAGCACACACAAGCATAGGCAGGCATAGGCAGGCGCACACATACACGTAGAGGCACACAGAGGAACAGAGAGGCACACATAGGCACACGCAGGCACACACAGGGACACACAAGCACACACACGCACATACAGGCACAAAAAGGCACACAGAGGCACACAAAGGCATACAGATGCACACAGAGGCACACATAGGTACACAAAGGCACACACATGCCCACACAGGCACACACAGGCACACACAGGCACACACAGGAACACACAGGCTCTCACATGCACACACAGGCACACACAGGCACACACAGGCACGCACGGGCACACACGAGCACACACAGGCACACACAGGCACACACAGGCACACACGGGCACACACAGGCATACACGGGCACACACAGGCACACACAGGCACACACAAACACACACGGACACACACAGACACACACGGGCACGCATGGGCACACAGACGCACACATGCACAGACGATTATGCATGAGATGCAGCAACAAGGAGACGATGAGAGGAAAGTGAAGGATGGGACAAGAGAACGAGAGGAGTGGCGGAACGACACAGGCAGCAGGAGGGCTGGGATCAGGGCAGCAGAGGGCAGCAGAGGGCACCTGGTCCCGTGTTCGGACGTCTGGTCAGAGGCCCCCGTGCACACATAGCACCTATGTGATGTGATGTGATGTGATGTGATGTGATGTGATGTGATGTGATGTGATGACAGGGTGGAGAGTAGACAGGGGAATGGTGGAGTTTGAGTCGACTCAAAGCATAGGACACTGGTCAAGTATTAAGATGTCTGGTGAGAGGCCTGAGTGCGCACATAGCACCTAATGACATGACACGGTGGAGAGTAGACGGGGGAATGGTGAACGCTCGTGACACGAACAGTGGCAGTAGAGCATGCAACACTGTAACAAGTGGCAGAGGAGAAGTGGAATGCAGAGGAGAAATGGAATGCAGCACATGAGATAGTGCATCCAAGAGATCATGCAAGGGTGCACTGGAGGAGGGTGGGGTGCAGTGCATGCGAGGGTGCACAAGAGAGTGCATTGGAAAGTGCATGTGCTCCCCCGTCATCATGACAGTAGAGTTGAGACGCAGAGGGCAATAAGCGGTGGACAATACATGCTGACAGGCACGACCAAAGCATGTGGTGCTGCACAATACGACCACCGGCAACTGTCCAATGCGTGCCTGTAACTTGCTGACCAAGAGTTGTGTGGCGGCATGTGGTGGTGGAGATTGAGCGGGGCGATCACTACATCGCCAATTCCCTCCCAGGGGCGGCGTCACCTGTGTGATTTATGGCGTTACCTGTGTGATTTGGCAGCTCTCATGGTTGCCTCGTAGCAGCAATATGTGCGCTGGGTACCTGCGTTGGCACACAAGCGAGTGGCACATGGGCGAGTGGCACATGGGCGAGTGGCACATGGGCGAGTGGCACATGGGCGAGTAACACAGAGTGAAGCACTTGCATGGGAAAGACAGGCGGCTAGGGAAGCACATGAGGGCGAGGAACCCAGAGTGAAGAGAGGAGACAGCAGAATCATCGGCAGCAGGCCAGAGGATAGCACGACACTGCAATGCAAGCCACGACCCAACACTATAGCCCATTGCAGCCGCCGGCCTCGTTTTTACGATATCACTCCTACACCCTTCCCTGAGAACCCTGCCCAGATTCACCCCACCCAGCCTTTCATCTGCCCCTTTGCACCATCTGCCCACTCACCTGCGCCTTCAATCCACCTGCCCTTGCACCTGTGCCTTGGCCACACATGCACTTCATGTGCCGCTCACACCACCTGTTCCTGAGTGCACCTGCCCTTGCGCGCGCCTGCCCCTAAGCGCACCTGCCCCTAAGCGCACCTGCCCCTGAGCGCACCTGCCCCTGAGCGCACCTGCCCCTGAGCGCACCTGCCCCTGAGCGCACCTGCCCCTGAGAGCACCTGCCCCTAAGTGCACCTGCCCCTAAGCGCACCTGCCCCTGAGAACACCTGCCCCTGAGAACACCTGCACCTGCGCACACCTGCCCTTGTGCACACCTGCCCCTAAACGCACCTGCCCCTGAGCGCACCTGCCCCTGAGCGCACCTGCCCCTGAGCGCACCTGCCCCTGAGCGCACCTGCCCCTAAGCGCACCTGCCCCTGAGCGCACCTGCCCCTGAGAACACCTGCCCCTGAGCGCACCTGCCCCTAAGCGCACCTGCCCCTGAGCGCACCTTGCCTTGAGCAGCATGAGGACGGTGAAGACCTCGAGGCTATTGTACCTGTGATCCACAAAATCACCTTGCTATCCCCAAGTGCGAGCGCACACATGTATGAGTCTATTTTTGAGTCGACTCAAAAAAAGAAGACCTCGAGGCTATTGTACCCGTGATCCACAAAGTCACCCTGCCATGCCATCCCCACGTGCCAAGGCACATGGTAGCGAGGCGAGATGCGAGGGCACACGGCAGCGAGGCAAGATGTGAGATGCAAGGGCAGAACAGCACACGAATTACCAACAAAGGACCAAAGGGAAGGACGAAACAGAGGGGGTCAAAGGGAGGGAGCAAATGACAAGTAAGGCTTTAATAAATGCAGTGAGCGGGGGCGGGAAGGAGATATCATAAAGATGTAATTAGTGGAGGGCACGGGGCCGCCGGTGTCAGATAGCTTTATGAGGTCGTGGAACTGGCCGTGGATGTCACCGTACACCGTTACGAGGCTGTTCACCGGCTGCACGTTCGACTCCTCCACTAGAATCTCCTTCACCTGCTCACCCGCGCGCCGCAAAGCGGGAGCAATGTCAAAGCGGGAGGAATAGGCTTAGGGAAGGAAATCAGGATACGAGGAAACGATAGTCGCAATGTTGTAAACGGAACGTATCTCGAGGCAAAAGCCATTCGCGGAGCTTACGTATTAGCATAGCTTACGTATTCGCATAGCTTAGGGTTTGGGAGCTGCGACGCCGCGATGGGTTGACCCCTCGCGGTCCGATTGGCACGAGCGTGGCTTGGTGGTGGGATGGGTGATGAGGTTGGAATTGTGGCTGTCCGATTACCATCCTGCGGTCCCTGCCTGTTTCTCAGCTGCACGGGTGCTCCTTGCCGGTTCTCTCCATTCCGTCTCCCAGTTCGTACTCTCTCCCCTTCTTCATCTTCACCCTCGCTACCGCTACTTGGAGCTTGTTGTTCTTCCCTATAAGTAGGATCTGCTCCTTCTTCTTCATCAGTATTCTCGTCTAGCAGCGTTAAAGCCCGTTGACCCGTAGCTTGGAACACATTCTCAGATCCCCCTCCTATACTGCTTCCTCCCCTTCGCTCCGTGCCCCGGCGCCTTCCTCCTCGTGATGGTGATCGCCGTCCCGCCTGAGCCGTCGGCAGTGCACGCTACCGCTGCGTCAGTGGTGGGTGGGAGGTCCCTGCCGATGTCTGCAACGGCGACCGCCGCGGCGAAGCCGCCTGTGCCGCCTGCTCCGAAAATCTTGTCGCCGCCCGCCAGGCAACCCGCTCCACCGAATCCTGATCCGCTGGCTGAAGAGTCACATCCCGCATCTGCGGGTGCCTCTCTCGCTCTTGCTTGTCAAGAGCCTGATCCCCCTGCTCTGGTCACCGATCAGCATCCTCCAGCCGCGGCTGCTGCGTCGTCGAAAGCAGCCGTTCCTGCTGTCCCGCAGGAACACTCTGGATGGCGGCCCTCGCGACGAATGTCTTGATGCCGCTGATTAACTCGCGGAGCTCTTGGCGCCCGTGTAGGCTGCGCCCGCGTGGGGTGGAGTTGCGGGTGTTGGGCAGCTTGGTACGGTTGTCCGTGCTTGCGGCGGTTTTTGCATGCAGGGAGTGGAGTCGATGTGATCGCCGCAAGCACGGTGGTGGTGCAGGAGTTGCATCGGACTCTGACGGGGCTCCTTGCGGTTCTTGACACGGATCAAATGTAGGATCCGCTGATGCTTGTCCCATGGTTGCCCCTAGTTGCTAGATCCCACTGTAATGGTTGTATGCCTATGAAATATAGGAGGTTGTTGTTTGTATTGTGCTTGCCGTCCCCTCACGCGCGGCCGATGGCCGCTCCGTCGAGCGTCGGCCATCGAAGGCGGCTGGCGCGAGTTGCAGGGTTAGAAGAAATGAACCCACAGCCTGAATAATGAGAAAGGAACCAGGCCCAAAGCCTTATATACCAGGAGAAGGAGAGGAAAAGAGGCTAAGGGACTAAGGGACTCGGCCTCTCTCTCTCTCAAGCAGTCCTTCATTAATAGTATACGAGGTACAGAACGACAATGCATGTAGGAGCCATAACTACTGAGCATGAGAGACCTGCCTAGGTGTTGGCATGGGCTCCTAAGCATGCAATCTAGAAGAAACCGTGAAGCCTAGGACCTGTACCCCCGCCATGATGGTGTGTGGCCGTCCTGGCTTAGGCCTTCTCCCCTTGCCCCCCCCCCCCTTCCGCCCCTCACTCTAGGGGCTCCCATGTCACTCTAGGGGCTCCCCAATCCAAGTCATCCTCAATGACTTGCCATAGGTCGCCCAAGCGAGGTTCCCATGGGTCAGCCGCTGCCTGGGGGAAGGCTCTCTCCGTGGCCCTGTTAGACTTTGCTAGGGATGTGTTTGTCTGGCTCCGCTGCAGCATCACCGACCAGCACTGTCGGTAGTGGGCCGCGAGTTTGGAAGCTACCGTGGTGAGCCTCCCTTGCCTAAATTTCTTCTTAGCCGCCTGGGTGCCGAGGAGCCTTAGGAATCTCTGTGTGTCTCCCGCCAGGGTCCCATATCTCTCTACGGCCAACCCCAGTACCCCCACAAAGTCTGGGCGACCCTCGTACATCCCCCTCTTTCCTCTTGCAGCGTCCTCTGCCGCCCATCCTGGCGGCTTTACCGCCCTGGTGTCGCGGCGTTGCAAGACTGTCACGTCAGTGACCCACGTCTCGGCTGACTCCCTGTCCTTGAAGGCCAGGTCCGCTCGCTTGGGGTTGACTGGTTGCGAGTAGACCGTGGTCTCATGCAAGGTCATGTAGTCGGCCTCCCGTGCCATGCGCAGCACCGCATACACTAGGGTGTTATGTGTGTTTGTCTTGTCTTTCCCCTCCCCGCACCGCACGAGGTGGTTCGGCAGGCTGAGGTCATCTATCTTCCCCCTTTCTCCTTGGCACAAGCAGCTGTCGGTCACCGGCAGGGTCAAGCCCAATCGGAAGCCCAGCGCCAACGCAAATTGTCCTGGTGAGAACGTAAGGTCTGCCCGTGTGGGGATGGCATGGAGGCAGTCCCTCGCCCCCACCCCCTGTAAACTGATCAGCCAGACCACGTGGCCATTGTCCTCACCAGGTTTATCCATCCAAGTGTTGCCCACCAGCTCAGCCGCCTGCTCCAGGTTAATGTGCCTAGACAATTGCTCCAGCAAGTGGCCCCTCCCCCCTCCGTTTTCCCTCGGTTCCCCGAGAAGCTCTTGTGCCGCCTGCGGGAGTCTGCTCCGCAGGTCCCGCAGCGTTGCCCCCCCTCTCCCCGCCACTCCCTCCCTCAGGGGTGAGACCAGCGCTGCCACCTGCTGCAGTTGGTGATTTGAGGAGGGCGGCATTTGCTGCAGCAATAGCTGCGCGGCCCTTAGTGACGCGAGGTATGCCGCTAGCCCCACTCCTCCCAACGCAATGGGCAGTGTCGCCTGCCTCCACACCGGGCTCTGTTCCAGCTCTTTAGATGGTATGTTGAGGTGGGCCACCCTCAGCGCCGTCCACAACAACCTTTCACTCCAGCCACGCCACTCCACGAGGGGCAGGACGTCCGCAGGTGTAGTGCGCAGGAGGTAGGAAATCCTGCGCGAGATGCATCGGGACAGCAGTAGCATCTCGTGTTGCGGGCGTAGCTTGCTGACGAGCCATAGTGGCAGGGCGATCTGCTCCAGCGTTCCCCTTAGGCCAGGTCTCCCGTGTTTCCTGATAGGCTCCACGCCGATGACTTGGCCAGGTTGCAGTGCAGGCCGAGTCCGCTGAGCTCTCAGCTGATCATGTTAAATGCCCTTGTCGTTGCCGCTGGCTGTCCAATAATTGTGATGTCGTCGGCGTACGCCATCACGGTTATGCTCGGTACCAGCAGGGCCGGCTGTATTGCTACCGCAAAGAGCATAGGACCGAGTGGGTCCCCTTGCCTAATGCCTCGTGTGCTTTTGGTGGAGCCGACAGTGAAGCCTTTGTCCAGTAGCAGCTTCGATGGTGCGCCATACAACGTCCGCGCAAAGGGAAGGAGGCCGGTCCACCGCAGCGTTGACAAGAAATGTCAGCGTTCCACCGAGTTAAACGTGTTTTCGACGTCTAGTTGCAGTATCGTTCTCGTCGGGTCTTCCTCCAGCAGAGTTCGTGCCGTGTGTATAATACAGTCCGCCCCTCCCGGAACCGCCACACCGTATTGCACTGGCATGAAGTGAGAGTGGATTTCTCATGATAGCTCTCTTAGTGCTGCCTTCGCCACAAGTCTAAGAAGCGCTTCCCCTATCGCGATTGGCCTGACGCCGCCGTCCGGTTTTTCTAGGGTGATTAGCCTTGATGGCAGCAGCAGCTCCCTTAGTGGTTCGTCCTGGTACGTACCGAGGAGGTTGTTGACTACGTCGCGAAGCAGCATGAATACCTCCCCGTTTGTTAATGCTCGGAGGTGTTCGAAGCATGTGCCAGAAGGGCCTGCCCCTACTCCGTTTGGGCATTCGCCAAGACTTCGCATAATGATTTCGCGCTGATGGCAAGTGCGGTTTCACCGTAACCCCCTAGCCCTTCAGGTATCGCCACCTCTGCCTGTGGGTGTTTCGCTCGGAGTATGTCGAGTGATGTTTGCGACGGTTCCGCCAATGGAGATGTTTGTAACACTGCCGCTGCCTCCGCCAGGTTGGCCTTCCGGACCAACCCCTCTACCCTTGCACAGATGCCCTCAGTGTCAGGTTCGTGTCTGCTTGGTTGAGAATTTGCGAGGAAGGTGCAGGCTTGGAGGTACAGTCCGCCCCAATCTTTGTCTCGGAATTGTTAGAGTCGTTTCTCCACCGCGTCATAGTTATTTCCCGGCAGTTTCTCCGCACTTGCCCTTGGTGCGAGCCTTGGCTGGAATTGCAGGATTCGCCACGCTCCCATGCAGCCCGGATGCTTCCACGGTCGCAGGAGGGGAATGGTGAGACAGTGGCTAAGGATTTCAGGATCTCTGGGGGAAGCTTCCTAATCAGGAATGGTTGGGAACTGGCGCGGAGTGGGTCCAGATCCCAGCTCTCCACCGCCCGCCACGTGTCGTCATCTTCTGCGATGTCACTGGATGAGCGTTCCTTGTTGGCTGCCTCATTGGCCTGCTGAGCTGGTGATTCGCCCAACTGTCCTGCAGTGTCTGAATTTCTTCCTTCCCACCCTCGTCTCCCGCCACATCCTCGTCTTCCTTCGTTGCCAGCGGGGACCCCATCCTCGGCCTCTATAGAGACCTCTTCCGACTCCGCCTCTTCCTCCCCCATATATTTTGGCTCATTTTCTCCCGCGGAGTCATTCATTGGTTCTGCGTTCTGCTCCTCTGGCCTCCCATGCCTTTCCCGCCAGTTCCCTGATCTGGCTTTTTCCCCTACACTTCCCCCCCTGCCCCGGCCCCTCCAGCGTCCCCTCGTGGCCGTTCTTCCCGCCACGTTTCGCGGCTGCTGGGCCATCGCGCGATCTTCCGCTTACTCTCGTAACGCCATCTGCCTGCTCGTCTCGTTCCACAGCATGTGCTGTCGCTGCCGCTATCTCCTCTTCCTCCCTGTCTTCATCGATCAGATCCGTCGTTCGGTTGTGCCTCCCTGTGCGTGCAGGTCTCGGTGCGATGACGGGCAAGGGACGTCCCTCATCCCGGTTGGAACGATCGGCCGGTCCTCCTGTTGCTCCTAACCCCTCAAAGGCCCAGGACGGGCTGGCGTCAGCCCTGCTCCGAGCCGCCGCCGCCCTGGTTGAGCACGAG